TCCAATCCCTAACATTCTGTGATTCTGTATGGCTTTTCAGTACAGTGAAGAGGTATCCCTGAGTAGAAGTCAAGCTTTATTGAACTTTAACGTAAAAATAGCTGTACATAACTCTTCGCAAGCAAATTCAAGGCGTTTCTGTGCATGAGCCTCTAGTTTTCCATAGCTGCCAAAAGAACTGCAAATGCTGGTTGCCCTGCAGTTCTCTGGGGAGAAAGGAAGTATTTTATTCTTCTTTTCAGGCAAAATTTGGACCCTCCAAGTGACTTGTTGCACGAGAATGCTGTTTTTTCTCAGTAATTCCTAGTGCGTCAAGCACGTTAGAGACGAATCAAGCCATGTCTGCGTTGTTAATGTGAGAGCATGTGAAACAGGTCGGTTGCTCCTCTGCTTCATTGTTTTCTTGACTAATTTGCTGCGTAGGTTGTCCACTCATCTGGAGAGTGCTATGATGACACTAAGGGCGTATGAGAAGAGACACATGGAGTCCGAGTTTAGTTTCCAAGGAGAAATTCAGAACAACTGCTCCGAAATGGTCAATGAAGGTGCTAGATTAAGAACAAAGGTGAGCTCTGGTTTCTCCGGGGTGATTCTTGGTGATTTTGTGTCGGGGAAGTCTTCTGGCTGCTGTATAGGTTAAATAGAAGACACCTGTGGCTCATTAAAACAGGTGTGGTGAGTCACGTTGGTCAGCTGGAAACCACGTGACCCATGGATGGTTAAAGGTGGGGCACTGCCTCCTGGGAGAGGGGGTATTTTCCCTCCTGGGTACTGGAGAGGTAGGAGCCCTTGGAGAGTGGTGACTTGGAGCTCTCTGTTGGATAGATTTCTGATTGAGATAACATTGAGATTAGAACAGCCTTCTGATTGTGAGATACATCGTGATCGCAACAGACCGTTTGGTTGTGATTCACTGTGAGAAGATACAGGCAGTTCGTGACAATTTTGTTTCACTGTTCTTTTTTTTTTTTTTTTCTTTTGAAACCTCTATTACCCTTTTCCTATACATTTTTGGTACGGTTAATTATCTGTTGTCTTCCTGATGCTCCTTCTGTTGTTATAGTAGGAGTAGTAGATGATGATAACCACTGCTGTAGTTGTCATTGTGGGTAAAAATGAATGTGCAGAGCAGTACCTGCAAAGGCACATCAAGGGCGAGCCAAGAGTCGCAGCAAGGCTGCAGGGTCCATGATCTCGTAGGCCAGGGAACAGTCCCACGGGCCCTCACCAAGAAGAGCAGTACAGGTCCGGTGACAGTAAACGGGGTCAGCCAAGAGTGCAGATTGCCAGGCCAGTCCACTGGAATGGGCAGGCCTGCAGTCCTACCAGGACGTCATGTCCAGGGCTGAGAGTCAGGGCTGAGGGCAGTGAGGCCCCACAGAGGCCTGGCCGCAGCTTTGAGGCGTGCCAGCATCTTCTAGATCTGACAGATGAATTCCTTCTCTGGAAGAGAGGGAAGTAACACCACCATAGCTCGAACTACTGTATGAAGTTGGCTTTGCCCAAGATCACCCCCTGAGCCATGTCTTAGGCATGAGTTGAGCAGGAGGCAGTTCAGGTTTTGCTTTTCTAAACAGTCTTGTTGCTTCCTGGGGCACGATGTGGTGAGGCAACGCAGAAAAAAGGCTGTAACTTTGCTCATTGGTAGCTGTCTCAGCCCACCTTTCCCTTGCCATGGGGACCCAGAAGTCGAGTTCCCAGAAGTGCTTTTGAGGTTTCTCTGGCTGTTCAGTAGCACGTAACCTTTTATCTACTTCTCCGCTCATTACTCAGATTTGTTGCGTTTCCCTATTTTCACAGCCGAAGAGACAACGTCGTTACCGATCAGAAGATGCTGGAGCAGAGAAGTCCCACTTCCAGCAAACAACAAGCGGTTATACTGAAACAGTTGCCGCCTCATTCAAGGACTGGAGTTTCCAGGCAGTCAGGAAGAGCAATGTGATGGCTTGATGTAAAGGGGTTCTGGTGGCAGGAGAGGTGATTTGCTCCCTGTGACTTCCCTGGTTTTGGAACTGGGTCAGACCTGGTTCTGGACACCAGATCAGACTCCCATCCCCCTTGGGGTTGAGCCAATCAGCGCCTCTGTGAATCGTCCTATTTAAGTTGGGACAAAGGAACCGGAAAGGTGCTTTGCCCGGGAGCGAGGAGAAAAGGGAGGAGGGTGCTGCTGCCGCTCCCTGGCTCCCAGCTGGGCGGCTGCCCCACCCGAGC